AAACAAAGACCAAATAGGAAACAATAAACTCATGCTCAGCTATATTAATAATTGCATCAAATACAAATATGCAAAACACTCTAATGAAAACAAAGATGAGATGGAGAAAAAAACTCCTTGACAGTGGTCTTGGCAGTAATTTTCTTTTTTTAAAATATGTTTTTATTGATTTCAGAGAGAGGAAGGGAGAGGGAGAGAGAGGTAAAAATATCAATGATAAGAGAGTCATTGATTGGCTGCCTCCTTGCACACCCCTTGTGGGAACCAAGCCTGAAACCTGGGCATGTGCCCTGACCGGGAATCGAACCGTGATCTCCCGGATCATAGCTTGATGCTCAACTGCTAAGCAATGCTGGCCAGGCGGCAGCAATTTTCTGTATATGACACCCAAAGCACAAGCAACAAAAAGCAAAAATAAATAAGTGAGGCCCTGACCAGTGTTCCCAGTGGTTAGAGCATCGCACCACGCAACATAGGGCATGGGTTCAATTCCAGGTCAAGAGCATGTACCTGGGCTGCGGGGTTGCTCCCCGCCCCCAGATGCATTTTAATACATCAATAATGAACTACTAGAAAGAGAAATTAAGAAAACAACCCCATTACAATTGTATCAAAAAGAATAAGATACCTAGGAATAAATTTAACCAAGGAGATAAAAAAACCTGTTCTCAGAAAACTATAAGATACTAAAGAAAGAAATTGAAGAATATACAAATGAAAGGATATATGGTGCTCATGCATAAGAAGAATTAACATCATTAAAATGTCCATACTACATAAAGTAATCTGAAGATTCAATGCAATCCCTATCAAAATACCAATGGCATTTTTCACAGAACTCGAACAAATAACCCTAAAATTTAGATGGAATCACAAAAGATCCCACATAGCCAAAGCAAAGCAATCTTGAGAAAGAAGAACATAGATGGAGGTATCACGCTACCTGACATCAAACTATATTACAAGGTTATAGTAATCAAAGCAGCATGGTGCTGGCATAAAAAGACATATAGATCAATGGAGCAGAAGAGAGAGCCCGGAAATAAACTCACATCTATATGATCAATTAATCTATAACAGAGGAAGCAAAAATATATAATGGGGAAAGACTGTCTTCAGTAGATGGTATTGGGAAAACTGGACAGATATATGAAAAAAAAAGAGAAAGAAAAAGAGAAGAGTTAAGAGAAGAGACCACTTTTTTATGCCATATTAAAAAAAAACCTCAAAATGGATTAAAGACTTAAAAGTAAGACCTGAATCTATAAAACTTTTGGAAGAAAACATAGGCAGTAAACTGGCATTGCCCTTAGCAATTACAAGAAAATTTTTTTTTGGATATGTCTCCATGGGCAGGGAAATGAAAAAAAAAAAAAAAAAAAAAATGGCACTACATCAAACTAAAAAGTTTTTACATAGCGAAGGAAACCATAAAAAAAAAAAACCCGAAAAGACAACCTACCTATTCACTAACGATACATATGATAGAGGTTAATATCCCAAATAGATTAAGAAACCCATACAACTTAACATCAAAAAAACAAACAATCCTATTAAAAAAATGAGCAGGACTTGAATAGGCATTTCTCCAAAGAGGACATACAGATGACCAATAGATATGTGAAAAGATGTTCAATATCCCTAGTAATCAGGAAAATGCAAATTAAAATCACAATGAAATATTACCTCACACCTCTCAGAATGGCTATCATCAATAAATCCACAAACAACAAGTGCTGGAGAGGATGTGGAGAAAAGTGAACCCTGTGCACTGTTGCTGGGCCTGTAAATTGGTGCAGCCAATATGGAAAACAGTATGAAATTTCCTCAAAAATTAAAAAGAAAACTACCATATGTTCCACTTCTGGGTATTTAAACAAAGAAAACAAAAACATCAATTTGAAAAGATACATGCACCTCTAGGTTCATTGCAGTATTATTTACACTAGTCAAGATATGAAAGCAGCCTAAGTGTCCATCAACAGACAAATGGATAAAGAAGATGCAGTAGAAACGGTATATATATTTACAATGAAATATTACTTAGCCATAAACAATAATGAAATCTTGCCATTTGCGACAACATGGAGGGTATTATGCTAGGTGAAATAAGTCAGACAGAGAAAGACAAATACTGTATGATTTCATTGATATGCAGAATCTAAAAAACAAAATAAAACAGAAACAAACTCACAGATACAGAGAACAAATTGACAGTTGCCAGATTGAGGGATGGGTGAAAAAGGTGAAAGGGATTAAAATGTACAAGTGACCAGTTATAAAAATAGTCACAGGGAGCCGGCTGGCATGGCTCAGCAGTTGAGCATCGACCTATGATCCAGGAGATCAAGGTTCAATTCCAGGTAATAGCACATCCCTGGGTTGTGGGCTTGATTCCCAGCAGTGGGTGTGCAGGAGGCAATCAATGATTTGCTCATCATTAATGTTCCTATCTCTCTCTCCCTCACTCTTCCTTTCTCTGAAATCAATAAAAACATATTTTTAAAAAAAAAATAGTCACAGGGAGGTAAAGTACATCATTAATAATGTTTTAATTACTTATATTAATTTAATTAATACACAGTTAATATTTTAATAACTATCTATGGTATCAGATGGGTACTAGACTTACAGGGTGACAATTTTGTAAGGTATATAAATGTCTAATCACTATATTGTACACCTGAAACTAATATAATACTGTATGTCGACTGTAATTGAAAAATAAATAATAAAAAGAGCAATACACAAAAATCAGCTCTATTTCTATATATCAGCAATGAACAATGTGAAAAAGCAATTAAGAAAGTAATCCAATTACAACAGTATCTAAAAGAATAACAGACTGATGAATACATAATGGAGTTTAACATCTGTACATTGAAACACTGCTGAACAAAATTAAAGACCTAAATAAATGTTTAGAAAGACATCCTGTGTTTATGGATGGAAAGACTTAATATTGTTCAGATGCCAATACTACCAAATATGATCTAAACATTTAAGCAATACCTATCAAAATTCCAACAGATTTTTTAACAGAAATGCAAAAGCCAATACTGAAATTCATATGGAATCACAAGGGGCCCAAAATAGCCAAAACTATCCTTAAAAAGAATAACAAAGTTAATCCTGATAGAAAACTTACTATAAAGCCACATTAATCAAAACAGTGATGTACTAGCATAAAGATGAATATACAAAGGGAATANACATTAATCAAAACAGTGATGTACTAGCATAAAGATGAATATACAAAGGGTTAAAAAATAAACCTATACAATATGGCAAACTGATTTGACAAGGAAGTCAAGAAAATTCAAAGGGGGGAAAAATCTCTTTAACAGATGGTACTGGGATAACTGGATTTTCACATGCAAAAAAAAAAAAAAGTTGGACCTCTACCTCACAATACATACAAAAATTACCTCAAAATGGATCAATGACCTAAATATAAGAGCTTAAGAACATAAAACTCTTAGAAGGAAACACAGAGGTAAATCTTCATGACCTTGGATTTAGCAAAGGATTCTTAGATATGACACCAAAAGCACAACGAAAGAAAAAAACAGACAAATGGGACTTCATCCAAATTGAAAACTTTTGCATATCAAAGGATATTATCAAGAAAGTGGAAAAAAAACTACAGAATAGGAGAAAATATCTGCAAATCATGTCTCTGATAAAAATTTAATATTAAAAATACATAAAGAACCCTTAGGCCTCAACAACAAAGATACAACCCTAACTTTAAAAAACTGTAAAAAGAAAGAAAACAAAACTGAGAAAAAGACTTGAATAGACATTTCTCCAAAGAAGATATATAAATAGACAATAAGCACATGAAAAGATGCTCAACATTATTAGTCATTAGGGAAATGCAAATCAAAACCATGAGATACCACTTCACACCTACTAGGAAGGCTACAATCAAAATAACAGAAAATAGGCATTTGCAAGGATATGGAGTAATTGGAACTCTGGTGCACTGCTGGTGGTAATGAAAACAATGCAGACACTATGGTGTAGCTTGGCATTTCCTCAAAAAGTTAAACATAGTATTACCATGTGATCTGGTATTTTCACTCCTAGGTACAGAGTCAAATTTGAAAACAGGGACTGAAATAGATACTTGTATGCCAATGTTCACTGTAGCATTTATTCACAATAGCCAAAAGGTGGACACAATTTAGTGTCCATCAACAGATGAATGGATAAACAAACCATGGTATATACACACAATGGAATATTATTCAGCTATAGAAAGGAATGAACTACTGATAGATGCTACAGTGTGGATGATCTGTGAAGTGATGCTAAACATTATAAGAGATACAAGCTATACATGAAAGTACAAGTATGATTCCATTTATATCAAATATTAGAATAGGCAAATTATAAAGGAAAAAAGTAGATTAGAGAGGTTACCAGGAGCTGGGTGGAGGGGAAATTCAAAGTTATTGCTAATGGATACAGAATTTCTGTTTGGGGTGATGAAAACCTTTTGAAAACAGTGGTAACAGTTGTACAACATTGTGAGTAAATTGAATGCCACAAACTATATACTTTAAAATGGTTATTTCATTTTTTTTAGCATAAAGTACACACATACACACAGAAGAAAAAAAGATTCTGGTTCATATCCTTCTTCCAAATAATAATCCTAGATTTTCACAACACTAAAATTAACTCTGTATAGGACTTTACAGAAGTCAGTGTTCTGCACTGTTTAATTCTATAGCAATACAAGTGCTAAGATTCCTAAAAACAGTGTGCTAAAATTTCTAAACATGTAAGTTAAAGCTAAATATTCTTTCCCATTTGTCAATAATCCAAGAAGCTCAATAAATTAAAGTATCTACTTTCATATTATACACACACACCTATGCAAGTAAATGTAAAATGAACTATGGCCTATATCTCTTTATATTGTTTTTTACTCTGCTAGGATTGAATATTAAGTAAATGCTGCTCAGTGACATTAAGCCTTTAACACTTACAAAATACACTGCTCCAAAGCTTCCATGGCCAATTTCTCTGAGATCTGTGAAGAGCTTCTCTGGATCTTCTTTGAAGAAGAGCTCTGCAATTTCAGGGTCCTTCAGGCTGCCTGCTCGGTTAGTTGATGGCATCCTGCTGGGCAATCAGCTTTTTGATTCTAATTTTATACTTGCTATCCCAATCCTTGGTTCATCTGTATGAATGAAGCCACGATGGCATAAACTATTGTAGAGAAAAAAGAAAAGAAAAAAGTCAGGGAAAGCAAAAGTTGCTAAAAACAATAAGTATAAGATTATTTTCTAACAGCCCATACAAAATTATCTCAGGTCTAGAAATTCACTGAGAAGGAAGTGTGGTCTACTAGTACAGTAGTTCCTAAACCTGGTTCATTATCAGAATCACCTGTGATGCTTAAAAAAAAAAAGGATTCCTACTATAGATAGCATATAAGTATATACTATATGTACACCTATAAAATGAAATATTTTTATACTGAAAGATTTTCTGTATCAGTACTTAAATTATTTACCTAATCCTGATGCAGGGAGCCCATCAGTAGGAGATAATTTAATACACAGACTATTAAAAACATGCACAATTCAAGATGTACCCATAGTATGTTTCTATAAACAGGAAGAGTCCCATCTATTAATGATCTTCAAATATAAGAAAATACACAAAAGGTTTAATGCAGTAAGATGTCCTTCTTTTCCTTTCATATTACCATATGCCAGTATTTAGTCAACTCTAACACAGACATTCAAAAGAAAAAATGCAATGGGAGAAAGTAATAAATTTAAAACAGACAACTGTTTCGCCCATAAACTTGATTCACACAAAATATGGCCTTTAACATATCTGATTCATTAGATAAGTAGACACTACAGATAACCAGTAAATTCCCTAGTAGTTCTGTTACCAGTTCCTTTGTATCATATTACCCAATTTAAAAAATGACTCTCATAATTGAAAGGCTGGGTTCCGGAATGACACTACCAGGATATGAATTCTGACAACACTATTTATAAGCTGTGACTTGGGTAGCATCATTTTCCTAATCTGTAAAATGAAATAACCTACCTCATACAGTAGTTGTGAGGCTTTAATGAGTTACTAAATGTAAGGGTAGACTAATATTTTGACATACTAAGCACTACAATAAATGTTAGCCATTTTAACTTGCTTAAATTCACCATTTTTTTAAAAAAAGCTCCAAAACTGACTTGACTAGACTTCTAAGGAAAATAAAGCTCTAGCCAACTCTCCCCGAGGTCCTTATATAACTTTTAAGCAGCTGCCTCATTTTTAGTGAAGTCACTGAACCAATTTTAATTCTTGCTAGAAAACTCTCTGTAACTAAATAAAACACATTTACATGTCTTTTGTACCTCCCTGAATTAACACTACACTGCAATAAAAACATTACTTGTTAATTGTTATTTGTATTCCATTTCTAACAAACTTTCAAGGCTGCCCCATATACTTTTACCAATTTCCCTGCTCTGGAACATCCTTGGAAGAAAGTCCTTCAAATACAGTTGATTCAAGAATATATGACCATAGGAAAGTCACTTAACTTCTCACTCCTAAAGTGAGGAGACTGAACTAAAATTCCATATAAAATGGAATTAATCTACCTTTAAAAAAACCCTTCAGTGTTACTCAAGACCTTATTGAATAATTTTGTACCTTTATTTTATATTAACATTTTCTAACTAGTTCCATAATTTGCATCTTCTTTCTCACCTGCTTAACAAATTCCCACTCAAAATCTTTCAAGATTTAGATGAAATGCAATACTGCTCATAAAATCTTAACTCTAGTAGGAAGAACTGGTCATTCTCTCATCAAGCTCCAAAATATCGTGCAGTATTTACTGTATTATATTGCAATTATTTAACTCTCTCTCCTACACACGTAGGCACAACATTTCTCACTCATTTTCATATTACCTCTCTCTGTCCTACACCCTACCTCCTAGTTAATATTACATAAATATTTGGTGAACTAAAAAGGAATACGTAATTATTCTCTCTATATCACTGCCAGCAATGATCTAACTTCCACAAATATTTACTGAACAAATAGTATACATAATATGCAAAATATTAAAGTTGACAGTCAAAAACTGAGTAAATTTATAAGGCTAGCACCATCCAAAACATCAGAAAAACAAGAAATAATGAGGGAATTAGAATATTTGCTCTACCAAATCTCCAAAGATAACACAAAATTATCATCATCACTAGAATAACAAAAATAGGACAAATAAATCAATAATCTAAAAGAGAGTTAAAAAACTCCATATATGTGTATCTTGGAATTTACCATCTAATTAAAGAAATAAATGTAAAATGTTATAATTTTACAATTACAAAAATTAGAGCCCTATCACGTATCTTACATAAGTACTACTGCTAAATGGCTTAAAGATGCATCGCAAATCCATGAAGAAAAATAAGATTTGACATAAATAAGTGTTGTTGGGAGACCCCAACAGCTATTTGGGGAAAAAATGAAACACCTTATTCCTCAAACTGAACATCAGAATTACATATGGGTCAGAAATAGAAATATAAAAAATAAAACTATACAAATACTAGAAGGAAATATGAGCAAGTTCCTCTGTAATTAGGAGGGATGCTTCCCTAACTATGATCCAAATCCCAAACAATAAGGAAAAAAGTGACATATTTAAAAAGAAAGCTTGGAAAGAGGAGTCATGGAAAGAGATACTCTGAAGAAAAAGACAAATGAACTTGGGAAAAATGTTTGAAACTTATATTTATAAAGGGTTAATACCCTAATGTGTAAAGTTTCAAAAAACAAAAGAAAATGTTTCCACAACCTGGCAGAGATATGGGAAGTTCAAAGGAAAAAAGGAAACCACCATTAAATATATGAAACTATGTTCAACATCACTCAAAGAGAAATACAAATTAAACTATATTAAGATTTCATTTTGTACCTATCAAAATGGCAAAAATCTACCACATGCTGATGGTGGGGTGGAAGAGATACTCTCATACATTAGTAGTGGTAACATAAAAACAGTACAAACCCTGTGGAGAAAAATCCAGCAAAACCTAGCAAATTCAATACACACCATTTCACACAAAAATCCTACTTTAAAGAATCCATACCAGAATTAATTATACAAAATACAGGGTGGGCAAAAATAGGTTTATAGTTGGGAGCTCCCAAAATACATAGTTTATTCTTGTTTAACTTATTATTGTTTTACTTTCCATGATTTTTTAAATAATTTGATAAATGCACACGAGGAACTCGAACTCATTACATTGCTGATGGGAGTGTAAAATGGTACAACCATTTTGGAAAACAGTTTAAAAGAAAGTTATTAGGTTAAATAAACATTTACTGTATGATGGAACACTTCCTTAATAGTTATCATTTACTCAAAAGAAATGAAAGCACACACACACACAAAGACTTGTATACAGCAGCTTTATTCATAATAGCCCAAAACTGCAAATATAAATGTCTACCAACAAATAAATGTATAATAAAATTGTGGTATATTCACACAATGAAATACTATTCTCAGCAGTAAAGAGGAAGAAACTACTGATGAATGCAGCAACACTTTCAACTACTGTTGGTGAGAAAACTGGGTATCTACATTCAAAAGAATGAATTTGGACCCCTATTTCACACCACATATAAAATTGAAGTCAAAAACCAAGAAATAAAACTATAAAACTCTTGGAGAAAACACAGGTGAAAAGCTGCATGACTCTGGATTAGGCAACAGTTTTTCAGATATGACACCAAAAGCACATACAATTTTTAAAAAAAAGGATAAACTGCACTTCAAACTTAAACATTTTTTCTAATTTTTCCATTAATATTTCCATCAACGTGAAAAGATAACCTACAGAATGGAAGAAAATATTTGCAAATCATATATTTGATAAGGGCCTAGTATCTAGAATATATAACAAATGATTAATTGGGTTAACCCAATTAAAAATGGGCAAAGGTAGCTGACAAATAAAATTAATGTTTAAAAGGTTTATTTAAATGGGCAAAGGATTTGAAAAGCCGTTTCTCCAAAGAAGATATACAAATGGTCAATAAGCACATGAAAAATTCTCAACATCATTATTCATTAAGGAAATGCAAATCAAAACTACAATGAGATATCACTGCATAGCCATGAGGATGACAATTGAAGAGTCAAGTGACAGGTGTTGGCAAGGCTGTGGGGAAACTGGAACCTTGTGCATTACTGGTGAGGATATAAAATGGTACAGTCGCTGTGGAAAAATTTGGCAGTTCCTCAAAAAGCTAAACATAGAATTACCATATGACCCAGAAATTCTATTCAGCAAATCCATCCCGCATTTCCCACCCAGGATAATGGCACCCCTATTCTTTGTGTCTCTGAGGAGAAAACTAGGTATGACCTTGGAATTTTTCCCCTTCCTCTTTCTCTCTTTTAACATCAATCTAATAAAATGGTAAATCCAACAGACTAGAATCTCCTCCTCTATCCACTGTTGATGATAGCCTAGTCCAGATTTTAATTGTATCTAATTAAACTAATGCATTAACCTCCTATCTGGATTGTTTTGTTTCATTCTCTCCAATTCATCTTTCATACTGTTTCTCTAATTTTTCCATTAATATTTATTAAGTACAAATTAAGGCAATAAATTATTAAGTATCACAGAATTTCTGCTCACTTTTTTAAAAACTCAAATAATACTAATGATGTTTATAAAATAAAATTCACATCAGTAGATAAAGCATTCAAGAACTCTATAATCTGGCTAGATCCTTCCTTTCCAATCTTTTCTCTTAGCATACCCATTCCTTACCCACAGCAATGTTCATCAAAGGCCTCCATGCCACCTGAAATACTATCCTCTCCATATTCTAACTAATTTATTCTATTTAAATCTGACTTCAAATCTTAAATCCATGAAGTTTGCAAAAAACTTCATTTGAAATTAGTGATTCTTTCCTCTTTATATATTTCATTCTGCATCTCTATTTTAATATTTATTTTTCTATATATTCTAGTTGTTTACATGCTTTATGCCCCCATGCTATATAGATCATAAGGTTCTGGAGCTCCTTCACAGAACTTGAGAGTATCACATAGCCAATCAAAACAAATGCTTATTGCCATAGCCAGTTTGGCTCAGGGGTTAGAGTGTCAGCCTGCAGACTGAAGAGTCCCAGGTTCAATTCCAGCCAAGGGTAAGTACGTCGGTTGCAGGCTCGATTCCCCCGGCCCCAGTCTGGGTGCATGCGGGAGGCAACCAATTGATGTTTCTCTTACATTGATGTTTCTCTCTCTATCTCACTCTCCCTTCCACACACTCTGAAAAAGCAATGGAAAAAAATATCCTTGAGTGAGGATTAAAAACAAAAAAGAAACCCACAGAGTTTGTTGAATGACTACTTAAATACTCTATTATTTAATTTATTTCTAAGTCTTGTATTTATACAAGTTTAGGTAAGGGTAGACTTTCAAAATTTTTTTGAGGGGAGGGTGTTTTTTATATTTTCCAATTACAGTTTACATTCAATATTATTCTGTATTAGTTTCAGATGCACAGCATAATGGTTAGGCAATATGTATTTTACAGAGTGGTCCCCTTGATATCTGAAGTATGCACCTGGCCCCATACATAATCATTATAATATTACTGACTATATTTCCTATACTGTAATTTGAATCACTGTGGCTGGGTGAAAAAGGTGAAGGGATTAAGAAGTACAAATTGGTAGTTACAGAATAGTCACAAGGGTAGGTAAAAATCACTCCAATTATAAACAGACATGATTCATTTTTTTACAAATAAAAAATAATTTTAATAAGCATAAAACAATATTTCTATGAAATTTCAAAAGAACTTCAAATCTAACAATCTTTTTTTTTTTTTAAATGTATCTTTATTGATTTCAGAGAGAGGAAGGGAGAGGGAGAGATATAGAAGCATCAATGATGAGAGAGAGAGTCACTGATCAGCTGCCTCCTGCATGCCCCCTACTGAG